AAGAATCAGAATAAAGTAGTTGTTAATTAGCTTCGGAACCACTATATTTTCTAAATGACAGTAGTATTAGTCTTTTCTTTTTTTTTTTTTACTTTAATTTATATAGAAAATTAATAGTTGACGTTAGTTTGATCAACTGTTTAATTAAAATATTTCACGTAATATTAATGTTTAAAATAAAATTTACTTTAGTAATAAATATATTTTTAACATGCACATTTATGACATAAATTGAAAAAAAAACCCATACAAAGAGTAGAAAATATATAGCTCTCATTGCATGCTTTAATAATAGGGAAATTACACATAATTTACTTATGATTTAAGGTGAGTGTATTTAAAGGCTCGTGGTATTGAAATATATATTTAAAGACCTTGTTTTAAAGCTTCAACACTAAACCACTCCTACCATTCAAATAATGTTAAAATTATGTGCAATATCTTGAAAACCCTTGATCTAAAGAATAAAAGAAGGAGAAAAAAAACTCAACCATTGCATAGACTCTCTTTTATAGCAATCTTCAAATATCGACTCAAATGAAGATGAAACCCAAATAAAATAACTCTTTGTAAGTAATCAAACAAAATCTTTTAATCTATTGTAATTTATATTCCATAGTGAAACTTTGTTTCTAATTTTCTTTTATTGACCTTTTTGTGTTCAGTTGAAAGTTTTGTTATTTGTTCAGGATTTAAAAAGTGAAATTTTCATTTGAAAATTAAAAATTCTACCTTGATCATCTATAGTTATAAATAAAATATTCTTGATTTTATGCATATTTAGTTTTAATTAATTTCAACAATACATGTTAATTATAAATATTTTATACATGTGCAAATTAAATTTTTGTTTTCTATTGAATTACGCAAGTGGTTTGAATGTGGTTAGTTAAAATGAATGAATGAATTAATTATTATCATTTTTTTTTTATGTATTTTGGGAGATGGATGGTAATGAGTTGCCAATAAATGATGAAACTGTAAGTGATTCTAATGAGTCGAATGAACCACAATTCAACTTTTAGCGCTAGACAAGATGGTGGTGTTAGGCAGGAAAGGTATTAGAGGAATTAAGATAAAATATGGAGTTTTCTATTAGGTTTTTAATGGTAAGAGTGTTTTGCTGCTCTTATTTTAAAATACAAGTTTTTAAGTACACATTTTGATATCACATGTCTTTAAATGTACTCACTCTAATTCATAGATAAATTAAGTATAATTTTTCCTTAATAATATTTTTTAAATTACATAATCAAAAATATTTAATTTATCTTTATTCATATGTCATACGACTTAAACTTTAAATCTTTTACTCTTATTAAAAAAATATTATTAAGTTGCTTAATTCATTCACACTTCAATGTATATTTTGTTTTACGTGGTCTTAATTGTCTTTTTAACTCATAATTTAAGTTTATTTTAAATTAATTTTTTTATATTTTAAGATAAATAAATATTATTTTCTTACTTTATTTTTATCTTTCTCTGTTCATTTTAAATGATCATCTAATCGCAAGCTTATCTTTTCTTAGTAACATCTCTATTTTTAAAAATATTATAAATAAATAAATATATAAATTATTATTATTAACCATTCATTTCAAATAATTATACCAAACGAACGAAAAACAAATTAGTAGGTTAAAACCCCATTTTGGTCCCTGAACTATTGTACGGACCCTTGATTTGGTCCCTAAACTAAAAAAATCCCTGATTTAGTCCCTACTTTTTACCATTTTTACCCCGATTTGGTTCTTCCGTTAAATATCCGCTTACGTATCTTGTTACTTGACGGGAAAAAGGATGACATGTCAAATATTAATACACGTGGCAGACAATAAAACCAAAAAAAGTGATGACATAGAAAAAATAATAATATAAAAAATATTAT